CTCCCATAGTTTTATCAGTACTCCAAAACCTGATGCATAGAAGTGTGTGCTCTTTTTTTCTAAACCACATCTTTACTTCACATTCAACTTCTGCGTGCGTAGTCCATGAAATGTCTCCAACCAAAGTGGGTTTTCAGTGGACCAAACAGATGGAAATCGCTAGGGGTAAGTCGGGGCTGTAAGGTGGATGTTCGAGAATGTCCTACCCTAGATGGTAAATTTTCTCTTAATTAACTAAGCCATGTGTGGTCTGGTGTTGTCAAGAAGGAACAGTCTTCCTTTAGTCAGCAGTCCGTAGACGTTGTTTTCGAAGTGCATCATGAAACATCGATAGAACTTTAGAGTATGAATTAGCATTCATATTGTCACCTCATTTTTTTTTTTTTTCACATATAGATTGAAAGCCCTCTTTGACAATCTCAGAACACTGTCAACATGACCTGTCTTGCTGATGGCGTAACTTTAAATTTGTTAGTACAAGGCGAAGAAAGATGTTTCCATTCTATTAAAGCAAGGTTTGATTCGGGCTGGTAGTGATGCACCCATGATTCGTCCCCAGTAATAATCCTGTCGAACTCTTCTTCTTCTGCAAAGACTGGCCTAGTCGGGTCATTTTGCGTTCGTCCGTCAATTGTCTGGGTACCCACCTTGAGCATATTTACCTTAAATTTCAGTCAATCATGCATTATGTTGTATGCTGAACCATCTGAACAACCTATTGCAGCTGCTACAGGGACAACCATTAATCGCCTGTCACATCTAATCGTCTCCTTCCACCGGTTGCTCGGATGCGTCTGTTGCAATCTCAAACAGTAGAAAGATTGGACTTCATCAGCTATGCACCGCTTTACGGGATAGACATTTATCAGCATGAACAAGAGGCATTTCCTTATAAATATGCCCGTCAGGCAGTCATTTTTGCCCCCCCTCCCCCCACACACACACAAAAACGCACAGCCGCACGTCGCTCTTTGAATGTGCACTCTATAAGTACAGTGGCAATTTTATATCGGTGTTAAAAATCGCATGCAACACCTAGCGCCGCCTAACGAACAAAGACGTAAAGTTGGATATTGCTGTCATCTAATGACACCTTTAAAAACCACCAAATTCATTTCCCATAACTGACTGACTGACTTTCTACCCCACCAGGACATCACACAAGCGATAAACACCCGATAACACAAAGTGCCACCATGTGGATGAGGATTGCCGTGTAGAGGTCCTAGAAACCGTGTTCAGACAATTGGCCATATTTATGGCCTGCCTATATTGCGGCCCCTGGCAAAAGCCAGGGTGGGGCTTCAATAAACAAAAAGTTTCGTCGTAAAAAGGACGAAACCGGATGACGAGTTATTTCCCATAACCATTTCGGACTTTATATATATATATACATACATAGGAGTGCTATTGTGTCTTTAGATTTTAGATTAAAGTGGATTGATGGCTGCATAAGGAGCTAGCAAGAATCTCTTCAAAATGCGAATACATAATGACATTTATTAAATTCTAATTTCCAGACTATCTGAAGAAGCCGTTGGAGAAATACTTCAATTCCTTTCCAAAAGTAGAAATCATACGTGCGACCAAGCGGCAGGGACTTACACGAGCTCGCTTACTGGGATATTATTTATCTACGTCACCGATTGTTGTTTTTTTAGACTCTCACATAGAATGCTTCCCTGGTAAGTGCCTTCTTTGAATCATAAATAAATTGTAACCGTTTTCATGTTTTGTTGGTAAGGACTTTGTTTGATGCATTATATTATGTATGTGGCCATTGATGTTTTCTTAGACGCAGCACTAGTGGGCAATAGGGAGGTTTACTCGAGAGTCAGACCAAAGCCAAAAAATGTTATGTTCAATGTGTTTGATTATACATCGGAAAATCAAACTTCATTGCCATGTGTAACATTAGTAAAAGGAATACACATATTTACCCTCTTCCTATTCGTCTAATATTATATGACGCAATTAAAGCAGGTGTCTTCATTACAGTGAAATTTGGCTGTAATGAATCTCTCATACCTTTTGTCGCATTTCCATCCAAATAGTGCCTAAATGACCAACAAATTCGCAACAACAACAATTTCAAAAAAAAAAAAAAAAAAAAAAGAGAATAGCCGAGGAAGCTTTATTAAAAACATAATATAATTAAAAAAAATGAGATGTTTAAACTCAAGTTTTAAGCTCTCTCAGTTAACAGAGTCTGTCATCCCCCACTTTCCCTCCCAATCCACCGACAACTCCTCTCTTCCCCTCCAAAAGATTTGAAATTCATAACCTAAAAATATTTTTTTATATTTGACCCTGGCATCGGTGTCCATTCAGATTAAAATGGCAGCATGCATTGTAATGAGAAGTAAATGCGGCTAGTGTAATATTTACCACATAATTTATTATCGCATACAACTTCATGCAGATTTCTGAGGTCATTAGTCAAAGTTCTCCTACAACCCGCACAAGGAACGCGGCAACGAAACAAAAATTAAAAATCGAAAAACAAAACCAAGATGCCGATGTGACCGTCGCTGGAACCATGTAGTTCGTGCTTTGTGAGAAGCATCTTATTTAAAAACACTGGCGTACTCGAATGCAGTGTTGTCAAAAATTTTAAAGCAATCGGTGAATAACTGTCGGCATACAGCTTTATGCGATTTCTGAGGTTATCAAAATTCGCCTACCAGCGGAAGCAAAAACCCGCGCCGGCAAAGCGGCAACAAAACAAAAACCGATGTGATAGTCGCTAGAGCTAAGTAGTTCGTGCTTTGTACGACACTCTTATATTAAAACACTGGCGTATTCGAATGCATCGTTGTGTAAAAATTGAAAGCAATCGATGAAGAAAATTCGGAGATTAGCTATTACTTACAAAGGAATATTTACATTTTTTAAAAATAGATTGTAAATCGTTGTAAACCTTAATTCTCAATTATATATTCAAATCTGAAAGGTTAGGCGGAGCCTCTGATTGCTCGAATTAGCGAAGATCCAACCAGGGTTGTCTTCCCTAGCATTGAGGTCATAGCCGATGATGAACTTCACACCAGATGCAACTCAAACGTCAACCAGAACGTAGTTTTCTCATTTAAAGACCTGACTTTCCAGTGGCAAGTGATTTCAACTGCTGAAATGAACAGAAGGAAAGATGACGCAGATCCTATAAGGTTGACAATCAATACTTTCATGCTACAATAATAGTGCAGCCTATCCCTCGATGGTAACGTTTCCTTTACGCTTTTTAATTGCAAAAGAGAAAGGAAGAAGAGTGTTGCACAAATGTTTTTGCTTATTGAGTTTACTCACCCGCTTTGGCCAGCAGATTATTTCGCACCCCGATTTCATTGAATTATACTCGTGCTGGATTTAAGTATAAGTAAAAAAAAAAAAAAAAAACAGCTTAGGCCTTCTGAATCTGCAGGATCCTTTAGGAAGTCTTTTTTTTTTAAAATTAAACAAATGCATTTTTCTTTGAATATGTTTTAATTGGGATATTTGCTTTTAAGGTATTTGAAACTAATAATTATTAAGTTTTAACATAGAAATTTTTAGTTTTTTATATTATTTCTGTGGTTTCTCAAAAAACATTCTTCATTTAAAAAAGTATATAATTACTCCACACTATTATCCATGTATTCAAAAGGCGTATATATGTTATGTACATCTTGACGCTTTCTGAGATTAAAAGTATGTTGCGCATATACAAAGAGTAAGTAAGTAAAGATAACTACGCTTGATTAAAAAAAAAAAAAATAAAAAAGCGTAGTTACCTGTTAGTTCCTTTTTTTTAGTTGACGATGAAGTTGACACCTAAAAACTATCGACAACCGAGATACAAAAAAACTTTTGAGTGACTGGTTAAACCCTACAGCATTCTGGTGTGCAATTTGAACAATGACACTTATTACTCATAAATCACAAAGATTTTGAATGGCAAAATTATGACAAAATCAGGTTTCTTTCAGTAGCTATGCGTTTCTTTCTTTCATAAAAAAAATATATAAAGAAAAATATAAAACCGAACGAAAAGTATATTAAGTATACTTCTTTCATACGTAGTAAAGCGCTATCGCATAACTGTGCATTTTTTGTGTGTACATTATTCACTCGAAAAGTTAAAAAATATTAAAAATTCACGGAACTAATATATATTTGTTTTCTCACAGTTTGTACAACTTTTATTACCTGTTTCAAGAATAACTATGGTAAAAAAATATAAATCGACTTACGAACAAATCCTGCATTACAAAAATTAGTTTATTATAACTAGGGCTGTACCGAATATTCGCTTCGTATTCGCTTCGGGGCCGAATAGTGGACCTAATAGCTTTTCGGTATTCGGCCGAATAGTGGTGGTTGGGCCGAATACGAATAGTGATTTCTGCATACACTGCGAAGGACTGAAATAACTCTCTCATTAATAATGTCACAATTTATAGCCGACTTTTCTTGATTTTCGCCGCGGCACCTCTGGCATATGCACCCAGTTTTAGAACCTCTGCTGTAATGCCTCGGTCGAGTCAGCAGGCGCTGTTACCACGCAACCGGGTCGCAGTTTTTCCCGATACGACAGATTTAGGCAACGCTACTGTTGTGTTGAAGAAGGCATGAAGACACGTGAAAGTTAACATTTAAATTTTCTTTCCTCGCCAGTGTTTTTTTTTTTTTTCTCTTTATCACTCAAAGTGTATCATACTGCATAAAATGCCAACCGCAGCTTGCTGAAAAATTGTCTTTGTATTTATCCCGACATGCGACCAATCCTCCATCTGTATTCGTGAAGGTGCAGCAGATAAGTAAGGTTGTGACTACATTTTTTGCTCAAATTTTGAAGTGGAAAATGTGGTCTGAACAATATTAACTGTTAGCCACGTCAAGTAAGCATATATCTTTAAAGGCAATGAGTTCTTTTTTGTTGCTTTTGTGCGTGTGTATCTGTGTGTGTGTGAGAGAGAGAGAGAGAGAGAGAGAGAGAAATAGAGAGAGAGAGAGAGAGAAAGAGAGAGAGTATGCATTTTTTCGTTTTCTCGGGGTGTCTTTGCGCAAATCAATTTGAAGATATTGCGAACGAGAAAATAAAGGTGCATTTAAATTGCATCGAACGAACGCATGAACAAACGATGTTTTAAATGCGAATTTAGCACATGCATAAAATCAGATGAATAATGCATTACTAAAATTAAAAAAAAACAAAATAGGACAAGCAAAAACTGCATAAAAAAAAAAATGTTATACAATATATCTTTGTCTTGCTTGCTACATACATCCAGTTTTAACATATGGCTATGAGTCCTGGACAATCGGTAGCCAGGCCAAAAATTTCTTTGAGGCCTCAGAGATGTGGTTTTACAGAACAATGCTCAAAATACCTTGGACAACCTAAAAAAAGCAACTACTAGGTTTTGAAAAAGGCGGGAGCCTGAAGACAACTAATCACAGACATCAGGAGACAGTCATCATTTTTCGGCCATCCTTTAAGAAGATTGAAAATGGAACATGTGGTAACCACTGGAAAGATTTGTGGAAGGAGAGATAGAAAAAGACAACGAGAGAAGATTCTTGACAGTCCTGTTGCATGTCATGGAGGTGTGTCAGCACACGAACTGATACATGCTGCAGGAGATCGCAGATTATGGCGAGGCAAAATCGCCAACACCAGTCAGCAAGGCACCTGATGATGATGATACACTATTCGTATTCGTATTCGGCCGAATAGTTGGTCCCACTATTCGTATTCAGCCGAATAGTGAAAATCACTATTCGGTACAGCCCTAATTATAACTACCGCCATCCCAAAGTGTCCCTCTGTGGAACACCTTCATGTGTATTTAATGTCTTCAAACTAAACTTCCTGAGATATATGACATTACCAGTATCAACTCATATGGGCTGAAAGAGTTAAAACTGTTATTTTCTAGCATGTATGTGGCTTAGGGGCTGCGAGAGCACTTTGTAATTCCGAGATATCCGGTTTGATTAGAGAAAGCGTTTTTTTTAGGAGACCGATTTGCGTTGATTACTACAATAGTTTCAAGAGCAATGTAAAGAAAACAATGGCAAAATACTGAAAGGTAAATTGTAAAGTACATTGACAAACAGCCAACACATTTTACCTTGATATGCAACATCCTATAAAGGATCAGTTGTCGCATTACACTTAACAGTATCCTCCCACGTGTTGAGCTTTGCATTAATCTCAGTATTATCCTCCCACTTGTATCATCGCCTACCTCTTGCCGATGTGCCTTCAGCTTTTTCCTCCAATATGCTTTTTTTTTAAAATAAGAGTGTTATGTCTTTTTAAAGTTAGTTGCACATCCTCCATAAGACATTGTAGATCAAAATTTTATGATTGTGAGTAATTTCATTACATTGCCAAGAGCTTGGACTTCAAGTTTTGATTTTACCGAAAAAGGGAAGTAACATGTCCCATTTTTTGCAGCATCAAAGAATATATTACTCGTAGGATAGCTCGATACATTGTCCGACAATATATATCATGTTATTTTGTATACTTGTTCCACTTAGTTTGCGCTCATCCTTATTGTGTGTACCTTCGTATCATTTTTAAATATTTTATGTCTGCAATAACTCGTTTTGTCTATGTTTAGTTTCACAAAATTTCAAATGTTAGTAGCAGTAACACCTTACGAAGACAGTGGTTCTATTTATATTGCTGTTTGTTTGTTTGTTTGTTTTAGTATCCAGAAGCCATGAGTTGTTAACCCTTAGGCTCGGTATTATGGATATCGCAACCTTTCGGCCTTGATTCCATTTTAAATACCGATAATCTGGGAGCCCCATAAATGCTCATACTAGTAATCCCTTTGAGGGATGCATTTTTCCTTTTTTTTTTTTTGAAGCCCCACCCTGACTCTTGACAGGGGCCGCTCTGACACTCTGGGGTAAATGGAGCAACGTCGCTGTAGCTACAGAGTTACGTGCGAACGGCGACACAGGCGGACAATTCTTATCAGCTGTCCGTAAGGGTGGCACAGCAATTATGGTTTATAATCGTGTGCAATGACGCTGGTTCACATCTACCGACTATACAATCTCATTACCACAAACTACGCAACTAACAAAGGACAGGAAACTAAATCTACTCCTCTCTGCGATCTCTCTCTCTCTCTTTTTTTAAAGCAGTTGGAAAAATTACCCAGAGGAAGAATGAAAGCAAATGAATAGTGTTATTGGATCTGAGACAAAATCAATTCTTTTAAAGCAAGAGAAGAATAGAAAAATTTAGGAAAAAAGATGTAAAACAAACGTCATTATCGACAAGCCTCTCTCTTGCCATTGTAACAGCAATAAAACTACTTGACGTATCCTGTGTGTTAAATACAAACACTTTAATTTTATTTTCTATTGCTGTTAATACCGGTTTCCCACAAATGTGCATACATATTGATTTACTGAAACATATACATTGATTTATATATTATTTTGTTGCATCAGTAACTCAAGAAAGAGGAGGTCTAGATCTTTTGAGGGCCTTTATCCCCGGTTCATGTGAAGAATTATAAAGGGGTCTAAAAAATGTGATTAATCATTCACATCGGCGACCGGGTAGTTCATTTGTTGGCTGGTAGACGACTTCGTCGCCTGTTGGGGCATTTTTAAGTCTGTCTTCTTTGATCGCATCAACTCTGTAGAAGTCCTTTTCATGACTATTCGTCGCGTGAAATGCTAAGCCACTTTATATGGCGCACAAAACCTAGTCACAATTATAATCTTACGTTCCTCCTTCGGAGATTCTTGTTGAACACGACGATTTTCTTTTCAAGCAAAGCAACAACAAACGAGATTAATTTAAGAGGGGTTAAGAAATGTCTAGATAACCACTGGGTTTAAAAAAAAAACAGTTATTAGACATAAAAGATGGCGCTATATTGGATACATTCTGACATTAAAAGAGCAGGGAATCACCAAGCATGCACTCAAATGGGAAATTAAGGGATTGAGGAAGTGAGTATGACCAAAAGGAACTCTAAAAGCAACGTTAATGAGAGAGGCCAAAGGCGCTAAACTGAGTTTTACCAATGATATTAAATTGATTGCAGAGGATAGAACACAATGGGCAAACTGACTTCGAGCCACGTGTGACACACAAATGGCACAGCATGATAATGATCATAATGAGTGCCTCACAATTTTTGTGTGTGTCGGCGCCCCTGATTTCTATAAACCAAGTTAATTTAAAGAAGACGAGTGTGCAACATCTTTAAATTGTAGTGCGGGTTGACTGAACTGACGAACAATTTGTTTTCCTGACAATGCTGATAAAGTGGTCGTTTAAAACTGTAAACATGAATAATATCAGTCAATATTTGGATGTGTTTTTTTTTTTTAAATAAATTTCATTTTATTACTGTTACATTTTATTACTGTATTAACATTCTGCAAATTAAAAGAAATTAAATAATTGTTATTTTTATCCTATGTTTTTAATCAACGTTAAACATCCTATTATTACTGTTAAGTTATATAACTGTTTTAACAATTAGCAAATTTAAAAAAAAAAAAAAAAAAAAATATTTGTCAATATTATCCTATGTTTTTAATCAATGTTAATCACCTTTAGCCGCTCCCCCCCCCCCCCCACACCTACTCCTCCTAAACAGGAGCACATTTGCGAAGGGCTACCTGCAGCTACGATCACCCCCCCCCCCCCCCGCAATCTCCACCCTTTCTTTTCTTCCCAATCACCACTCCACCCCCTTTCACACTGGACTGTGAATAGGAAACCATGGTTAGACTACAACAGTAAGTTCTTAATGTTCTCCTTTGTCTTGTTGTGGCATACAGATTCTGCAAGAAATGCGTTTTTAGTCCAACATATGCACTTTTTTTTAAGGTGTACAAGAGAAAAAATTTCGTCACGAGCAGGGAAGATTCCCATTGGATTTCGAATCCAACGCCTTAACCACTCGGCCATCGTGACAGATATTCGACTTACTGAAGAAAATTCTGAGTGTTTAGTTTATCAAATATAACAATTTACAATAGACATTGTTCAGAGTACCGACTATCTGCTTGTTATGTCATATTTATCAGTTTTCCAAGTGGTCCTGTTTTCACGTCATCATTCTCCCTACGGATGTCTGCAGGGCCGTATTTAAGATGTATAACGCCGCTGTATATTCATTTATTTTAAAACACCTTATCCCTTTGTTGTTCTTATTCTTCTCCATTTACTTCTTCTTCTTCTTCTTCTTCTTCTTCTTCTTCTTCTTCTTCTTCTTCTTCTTCTTCTTCTTCTTCTTCTTCTTCTTCTTCTTCTTCTTCTTCTTCTTCTTCTTCTTCTTCTTCTCCTCATCCTTCTCCTCCTACTCCTCCTCCTCTTCCTCCTCCTTCTTGTTCTTCTTCTGCTTCTTTTTCTTCTTCTTCTTCTTCATGTTTACCGTTTGTAAACTCCGGGGTCCCTCCTCTTCTCCTTTCTGCCCCCTCCCCCAAACACACAAAAACAGATCTCTTAAGAAAATTGTTTATATTAAATATTCTAACAAGATGTGTTTACATGACGTCAGATCGCCAACAATGCCAGGAGGACTTTTTGCCATCAGCCGAGAATTCTTTGACAAACTGGGAACTTACGACCCTGGACTGGATTACTGGGGTGGCGAGAATATTGAACTCTCCTTTAAGGTGAGAAGAACCTGCAGATTTCTAGTTTTAAAATATGTTTCTGTTTCCTATTCCTCGTTTACAGCTTTCGTTGGCTGTCATGATATTAATGCTGCGTTATTTATCAAAGTATTTACTGGGCCATGTTAAGACCCTAAGGTTAGACTTGGTGTCAAAACGATCAAATACGATGGTACGAAAAAATCTAGGAGTGGCCCCCTCCCACCCCCCCCCCCCCCCCCCAATGCTGAAGGAAATAAAAAGTGATTAATGAGATATTTTAGACATATTAAAAGATGTCTAAATTTTATAAAACCTTACTTGAGTGAAAAGTTAAAGGCAACATAGAAAGAGACAGACATGATTGCACGTAAGAGGATACCATCAACAGACGGGCTAACAGCATTTTGAGAAAGTTTTCATAAATGCCTGGTAAGACTTTAAGCCCAAGTCCTCCGGGATAGGATCCGTGGCCTCTGTAGCTTGTAAGCGCCCCATGATAATCACGTGCTTTGTGCTTCGCTGGCAGTCTTGCATTCATCCGAGCTCCACCCCTATCATGATCATGATAATAACCATTTGCACAATACTTTACATTTTCGAGGTGGCTGCGCGGTCTCAGTCATGGTGTCCGCCTCGAGTGCTAGAGCTTCTGGGCTCAATCCCCTGTAAGGGCTGGGATTTTGTCACGTGGACTTGGACTTCTAGTAATTCCCTCTGGTCTCTGGGTAGTGAGATCGGACACCCGTGTGCATTGTTGCGCACGTAGTTGGAAATCGAAAAGAGTAGCCTAACGGCGCTGCCCGGGCACAATTTGGAGTTGAAAAAATTATACCTCAAGAATTTCAGGATCCTCGCCGATGCTACAGAGCCCGTGCACTGTGCTGAGCTTCTGTGGACTTTGACTTTAGTTAGAAGAAAAACGGAGCACTAATGGGTTATTACCTGTGTGCCATGATGTTGATCTGTTGTTAAAAATCTCAAAACTCAAACCTCTGTATATTTCAGGCTTGGATGTGTGGAGGGAGCGTGGAGATGGTTACTTGTTCCCACATCGGTCATATCTTTCGACGCACCAATCCCATTCCACTGCCGCCCAACCCTGTCAGAAAAAACTCCATACGAGTTGCCGAAGTTTGGATGGATGATTACAAAAACTACTTTTATGAAAGAATACTATACAGACTGGTATGTACACGTTGACTTTCTGTATTGAAGGTAAAGCCAAGATAGCAATGCATTGTAACACTCTCTGTTGAATAATGTAACGGTTTTACCATTACATTTGGAAGACTACTATTATAGTGTGAGCTAGTATTACATACGAAAATCTGCTGGCCAAATGGTTAAGAATACTGGGCTCTTATGCGGCAGACAAATGTTCGAATCGGTCCGTAAAGTAATTATGTTTTTCAGTCAGGGGAGAGAGGGAATACAATTCTTACCTGCATAGTCTGTGACGATTGCACTAAAATGTCTTACTAGCATCTCTCCCCCCCCCCCCCCCCCCCCCTTAATATTCCCCTCACATGCAGCGCAAAAGTGTTAATACAGTTTTGTGCAACATACCACAGTCGAATATTGAATACATTCTTTTTAATTCCATAAGCTGCAAACTGTCTCTCTTACTTCCTTCAGAATGCACCTTTTTAATATTAAACGGGAATAACATTCTGCCAATATCAGTATGTTTGTAGTTTCTGTAGTCCTATGTTGGCAGCTACAGTATCATTCAATCTGCTGGTATTTCTGCAATCTGCTGGGATACCAATTCGAACAGCAGATTTGTGTTGTTTGGGATTTCTTCTTTATGTGGTTTTTTTTATCATAGATACAGAACTAAATATGTGTAGGCATGTTATCTTAGGGTAACAGGATGCTTGTACTTTTGGTGCTTCTAAAGTAACGAATAACGAAAATATTCAGCCTATCTGTTTATGTGATTTTCAAAGTCGGTGACAACTTTCTGATCACTGTTTTTATACGTCAGCTTGGTTGACTAGATATTTCTGTTTGTTGTTGTTGTTGTTGTGCTTTAGAGATCTACCTGTTTCTTTTTTGCTAATGCTAATTCTATCTTTTCTACTTCCTTTTTAAAAACGAAAGGACCTTTTTCACGCCAGTTGTGTATCGGACATACGTTGCTAATCACTTGTATGTTTGCAGACCAATCGGCATTCAATGGAGTTTATGGTCAACATTACACCGGCCACGTTTGATTCCCATGACTTTACCTAGTACCCAGTTTAGGCCTAGTTGACCTGGCAAGCAAAACCATTTTGGAAAAAAATCCTGCTCGATACAACCCAAGGCACTAAGGACCGGCCAGCGGAAGTCTACCCACTAAGCCAACGCAGCTCCTTCTTTTCTACTAGGCCATCTAAATATTGTTCTGTATCTACTCTTGAACTGGTTATTTTCGGCACCCGTAGCTTGCTTTGGAGTTGTGAACGCAGTTTAAAAAATCCGATGTACCTGGGTTGAAAAAAAAAAACACAGCTAAAGGCGATTTGGTAGCAGATCGCTTTGTATTCATGTTGACAACTCCGTTATCTTTGTATCGTTCAAGAGGTTTGACACACGGGTAGTAACCCAATACGTGCTCCTTTCTTTCTTCTAACTCAAGTCCGAAAAAGCTCAGCACAGTGCACAGGTTCTTTATCACCGGCAAGGATCCTGAAATACTTTGGGTTGATTAAATTCCAAATGTTCCCAGTGCAGCGCAACTAGGCTACTCTTTTCGATTTCCAACTGCCAAGGGATTGTTTACGTGCGCAACAACGCAACAATGCACACGGGCGTCCGATCTCACTACCCAGAGACCAGGGGGAATTACTAGAAGTCCAAGTTTACGTGAAAAAATCCCAGCCCATACCTGGGATCGAACTCGGAACTTCTAACACTAGAGGCGGACATCATGCCTCGAGACCACGCTGTCTACTAACTGACAAACCTATCTAAAGGTAGTTTATCTCTTTGAATATATGTTTAATTCTTCTGCTTTCTTTTATTGCTACTTCCATCTAAAAGTAATTATTTTGCTTAGCGTATGTTTGTTTCTGCTTTCATTCATCTAGTTATCATTTATTTTTTCAAGTGTATGTTCACTTCTTTTGCTTGGATAAATATTATGCTTTTTAAGTATATGTTTACGTCTCCTGACTAAACTTTTCGAAAAGTAGTTATTCTCTTTAAAGTATGTTCACTTCTTTTGCTTACTGTTATCGAAAAGTCACTATTCTCGCTTACATTTATCTAATTATTATTTTGTTTAACGTCTTCTGCTAACATATTTCAATATAGTTTATATAAAAGAAAAGGTTTTCTGTTAAAGTAGGTTTATTTCTTTTGCTCTTACACTGATATGATATTAGTAAATAATTTCTAGGGTAACTATGGGGACGTGACTGAGAGGAAGCAGCTTCGAGAACGTCTCAAGATGTAAGAGTTTTGAGTGGTATTTACGTAACGTTTACCCAGATGTTGTATTACCCTCCAACATCAAGTACGCTGGAGAGGTAAGTAGCGTTTATCTTAACCGAATATTATGTTTTAACTTACACTGTAAAAGATGGAAGGATGAAATAGGTCTCTGGATAATCGTTGTTATGAACAGTTACAAGACAAAGACGGATAATAAAGGGGACATAAAAACAGACGTTGCAGAATCAACCCCAGCATTGGCTGTTGTGGTTTTTCTAAGCCAATTTAGGTCGAGTAGTTTGCCAGTGCTCTCTGGACGGTCGGCTTCTCGATACCACTGTCGAAACCAACGAAAGGCGCAAAGCACGAAGCTGGGATCGTACCCGACACACCGGCATTACGAAGCGCGTGCGCAACGCCTAAGTCACAGACGCTGACATGTCAGTATTACATTTGCTCAAAGTGCATTTGTAATGTCTTCATTATTTCACCATGCAGATCCGAAGTGTTGCTTCCCCGCGATGTGTGGACAGTATGGGCGGACCCGAACAAAATCAGCATGCGCCGAAGATGTTTAAGTGTCACGGGCTGGGATATAAACAATTCTGGTATTTTAGTGGAAATGGTCAAATTTATCAGGATGACTGGCACATCTGCGTCTCCAATGGGCAAATTGTCACCAGAAATGCATGCATACCAGATGGTGCCATATGGAAATACAGAGAGGTAAGTAAGATACCTTGTTCTAGGAGAATAACCTTTCCCCATCTTGACTGACTAATTTTTTTTCCCTTCTTTCCTTCAGCGCAAACCTGCGCTGATTAAACCTTACTGGAAGATGGAAAGTCATACCCTCATAGGCTGCAATAAAGACAAAAATCAAAGGATATGTATATTAGGATTGGTGAAACATTGAACCTAAAAGACGAGAAGAGGGTTGATACCAATAGGAAGATTGTCTAGTAAACAAAATCTTGTCTCTGAAGCTGAAATATGTTGGCCATATCAAGATCCACAGTGAATTCATAAAATAATAACAATAGCAGAAAGATAAGTACCAGGAAAGAGAGGCAGGGGCCGACCAACGCCTTTTCCAGGTAACGTGCTGACGTCATCACCTTGACGTAACGTCACCAACCCGGGCTAACGATACGTTAAGTTTTTACTCTGACAGTCCTGTTGACCAGTTTTTGTTGTAGTTGTTACGTTCCCTGCTTTTCCCAGAGTACTCCGCATACAAATTCTAGAAATAGGCTCTATAATAGAATGCGTATATAGTTATTTACACATATTCAAACTAAAAGGGAATACTAAAAAATAATGTAATATTAATGAATTACGATTTCTTATACAGTTGATAGGTTTATATAAACTCTATAATCTCACCTTCTTAAAATGTATCCGTTCCTTAATGAAAAGTGATAATAAAACTTTCTAGAATATTTTTTAGACAGGTGAAAAAAAAAGGTGGGGGAAAAAGGGGGGGGGGGGGGGGGGGAAGAGGGGCTCCACCCTGTATATTCACGATATGATCCTTGTTCACACTGTATATTCGCAGGGTTTTTCTTGTCCAGTCTGTATATTCGCAACATTATTCTTGTCCACTCTGTATAGTCGCAACATTATCCTTGTCCACTCTGTATATTCGCAACATTATCCTTGTTAACACAGTATATTCGCAGGGTTTTTCTTGTCCAGCCTGTATATTCGCAACATTATCCTTGTCCATCCACCATCTTCGCAGTGTTTCAGTGTCGGACTCATTAATATGGAGCTTGGAAAGAGCACTAAAATTCCAGATGTTGAGGAATTTGAACGAGAATTTGAAACACGTATGTATGTACAAATATGTTGAGAACACATGGTTAGCTGCAGGAGGTGGCAAAAGACGGGACACATTGCATGATTTAGTTAGACGCGAATGATTACCTTTTAGTTATATTATTATCTACTTGCCATTCAGCATTTTATTATTATTATTTTTGGAAAGTGTGTATCAACCCCAATATATCAAAATAAAATTATATCATTGACCAAATGCACTATTTATCTCTTGTCCCAGGATAAGACGATACTTCACATTCCCACCAACCAATGCCTCACTGCAAGTGTGACACGTGGCGTCCTTTCACTTGCTAACTGTTCAGACAGTAACTACCAAAAATGGGAGATTCAGCCACGGAGGACCGACGTGAAGTTTCCAAGTGTAGAGAACATCATAGTTAATTAATGTAAATTATTGTCTTTCCAAGTGGTGAACTCTTGTGTACAATTATAAGAAGAGATAGAATTTTAAAAGATCTAGCAATATCTTGGTCTTTGATCTAAAACACAGTTGTTGCTGCAGGAAACATTTTCTATTTTTGGGGGTTAAATAAAAGATAAAGAATGCTTTAAAAAAAAAAAAAAAAATTCGATAACTGCCATGGATAATTTACATTAGTGGCTTACACTCTAAACTATGACGTTACTGTAAATCATTTGTGATATAGAGCTGATTAACTAATGTTAGAGAGGCAGGCAAAGAAGAAGAATGGAAAATGGAGGGGGGGAGAGAGAGAGAGAGAGAGAGATAGAGAGGGGCGGATATACAGACAGAAGAAAAAATAGATATTGGAGAGAGACAAAGGCAGGCAGAGAAGAAGAAAGACAGATGAAGAGGGAGAAGAGAGAGAGGCAGATATACAGACAGAGGGAAAGCGTATAGACATTGGAGAGAGAGAGAGAGAGAGAGAGAGAGAGAAAAAAGAGTGAAAGGAGAAAGATGGAGAGAGATAAGCGAGAGAGACGCAGTGAAAAAGGACATATATTGTAAAGAAACAGAGAGCGAGGCAGGGTAAAAAGATAAAAAAAGGAGGCACATGGAGCGATAGAGAGAAGTAAGAGAGAGTTTGCATATATTTTGAAAACGTTTTATTGTCAGTCTGCTTTATTCTTAACGCAAGTACATGATTCTTTTCCACATTAAACAGGCTGTTCGGTGTATGAAACTACCCAAGTGTTTCGGTGTATAAAACTACCCAAGTGTTTCGGTGTATGAAACTACCCAAGTGTTTCGGTGTATGAAACTACCCAAGTGTTTCGGTGTATGAAACTACCCAAGTGTTTCGGTGTATGAAACTACCCAAGTGTTTCGGTGTATGAAACTACCCAAGTGTTTCGGTGTATGAAACTACCCAAGTGTTTCGGTGTATGAAACTACCCAAGTGTTTTCGGTGTATGAAACTACCCAAGTGTTTCGGTGTATGAAACTACCCAAGTGTTTCGGTGTATGAATCTACCCAAGTGTTTCGGTGTATGAAACTACCCAAGTGTTTCGGTGTATGAAACTACCCAAGTGTTTCGGTGTATGAAACTACCCAAGTGTTTCGGTGTATGAAACTACCCAAGTGTTTCGGTGTATGAAACTACCCAAGTGTTTCGGTGTATGAAACTACCCAAGTGTTTCGGTGTATGAAACTACCCAAGTGTTTCGGTGTATGAAACTACCCAAGTGTTTCGGTGTATGAAACTACCCAAGTGTTTCGGTGTATGAAACTACCCAAGTGTTTCGGTGTATGAAACTACCCAAGTGTTTCGGTGTATGAAACTACCCCAGTGTTTCGGTGTATGAAACTACCCAAGTGTTTCGGTGTATGAAACTAACCAAGTGTTTCGGTGTATGAAACTACCCAAGTGTTTCGGTGTATGAAACTACCCAAGTGTTTCGGTGTATGAAACTACCCAAGTGTTTCGGTGTATGAAACTACCCAAGTGTTTCGGTGTATGAAACTACCCAAGTGTTTCGGTGTATGAAACTACCCAAGTGTTTCGGTGTATGAAACTACCCAAGTGTTGCGGTGAATGAAACTACCCAAGTGTTGCGGTGAATGAAACTACCCAAGTGTTTCGGTGTATGAAACTACCCAAGTGTTTCGGTGTATGAAACTACCCAAGTGTTTCGGTGTATGAAACTACCCAAGTGTTTCGGTGTATGAAACTACCCAAGTGTTTCGGTGTATGAAACTACCCAAGTGTTTCGGTGTATGAAACTACCCAAGTGTTTCGGTGTATGAAAACCCAAGTGTTGCGGTGAATGAAACTACCAAGTGTTGCGGTGAATGAAACTACCCAAGTGTTTCGGTGAATGAAACTACCCAAGTGTTTCGGTGTATGAAACTACCCAAGTGTTTCGGTGTATGAAACTACCCAAGTGTTTCGGTGTATGAAACTACCCAAGTGTTTCGGCGTATGAAACTACCCAAGTGTTTCGGTGTATGAAACTACCCAAGTGTTTCGGTGTATGAAACTACCCAAGTGTTTCGGTGTATGAAACTACCCAAGTGTTTCGGTGTATGAAACTACCCAAGTGTTTCGGTGTATGAAACTACCCAAGTGTTTCGGTGTATGAAACTACCCAAGTGTTTCGGTGTATGAAACTACCCAAGTGTTTCGGTGTTTGAAACTACCCAAGTGTTTCGGTGTATGAAACTACCCAAGTGTTTCGGTGTATGAAACTACCCAAGTGTTTCGGTGTATGAAACTACCCAAGTGTTTCGGTGTATGAAACTAACCAAGTGTTTCGGTGTATGAAACTACCCAAGTGTTTCGGTGTATGAAACTACCCAAGTGTTTCGGTGTATGAAACTACCCAAGTGTTTCGGTGTATGAAACTACCCAAGTGTTTCGGTGTATGAAACTACCCAAGTGTTTCGGTGTATGAAACTACCCAAGTGTTTCGGTGTATGAAACTACCCAAGTGTTTCGGTGTATGAAACTACACAAGTGTTTCGGTGTATGAAACTACCCAAGTGTTTCGGTGTATGAAACTACCCAAGTGTTTCAGTGTGTGAAACTACCCAAGTGTTTCGGTGTATGAAACTACCCAAGTGTTTCGGTGTATGATGTACAATAGATTGTTTCGGTGTATGAAACTACCCAAGTGTTTCGATGTATGAAACTACCCAAGTGTTTCGGTGTATGAAACTACCCAAGTGTTTCGGTGTATGAAACTACCCAAGTGTTTCGGTGTATGAAACTACCCAAGTGTTTCGGTGTATGAAACTACCCAAGTGTTTCGGTGTATGAAACTACCCAAGTGTTTCGGTGTATGAAACTACCCAAGTGTTTCGGTGTATGAAACTACCCAAGTGTTTCGGTGTATGAAACTACCCAAGTGTTTCGGTGTATGAAACTACCCGAGTGTTTTATAAACCATGTGGTTAGTGGTTAACATCACGCTTTTACTTCCCGGAGAATTTATGGTAACAATGTTACACCTCTATGACATGATAAAACTACTGTATGTAAGTTTGCCTAGAGAAACCACACAACAACCAGGGGCTGCTAGGGTTGGTGCTGCAACGTCCTGTAAAGGATACGCAACTAACCTGATGACACGATAACCAAGTTAATCTAAAAAGAAATCAGTATTTCATTGAGGTTTCGATTTCAAGAACATCAGACCTGCAGAAAAGCGAACTAACTACTGCACTTCACTCCCTGATAGAAAAGGTGTTGGCATTTGTAGTTTTTCCAGAACTGACCCCCATATATTCTACCAGTCTGTAATTCATCATGGTATATATCTTAAGGGACTCTACCGTCTTCCATCCTCCAAGTGTGTACTCAAAATACAAACTTAAGCATAGTTCTATGATGGCAGACTCTTCCGAGCTACCATAAACACAAATAAAACGAAAGATTACATATGTTAATCTACAGGCCGCATGAAAATACTTGAATAGTTACCTTAAGATAGTCAGAGGTGCTGAACTGAATTCTACTGATGATATGAAAGGATTGCACAGTTTGGAGCAGAATAGAGGTCTACAATGCGAGCCCTATATGACACATACCGGTACAACAAGATAATGTTGATTTCCAGGCTTTTTTCTTCTATCCGAAACCCCTAAAAAAGTGGTGGCACTAACAATAATGTGTCTCATAAAAGAGACAAGTACTCATCACAAAGTGTCTATTACAGCTGCACTGCAAACAATAATAGCCAAAATGGTGCCAGTACTATGTACATGTGCGTACCTTCAGAAAAACAAAAAGCCCTGTGATAATAACAAGTAATAACATAATTGTAGAAATAATTTGTTCCATTATAGATACGATTGTTTCTCAGATATTTTCAACAGGTGTAAGAAGTACATTGTTTACTACAAGAAACGATTTACATTTGGTTGCTTACGTAACTTTCTTAGTTAATTAGGTAAAGTTAAGATCTCTTTTCACGCTTTTAGGCGCTTCGGACATATGGGAAGAGCACCCATATTTTTACAGACCTATCGGCACTAGGTGGGTTATGTGGTCAGCATTACGCCGACTGTCTTTACTTTCCCAGGACACATCCTGATACCCATTTTAGGCTGGGTCGACCTGCGACGCCCTATACCATGATAAAAATCTACGCACCCAGCAGTGAGTTTCGATAGCGTTATTTTAGAAATACAAGACCCCCTAACATTGTGATCTTCTAATGAAAAGTTGCGTTAAGAAAGGGCATCACAGCATTGAAGACATTGTTTGGTGGTTTCCCCTTACGCTGTTTTCCACCAAAGAGAAGCCGCGTTAAGCACCACATCAATTATGGCATTGAAATAAGCGCTCCAATATTCAGCAGCCTGACGAGAGCTCCAGCTCCGATGATACCATAGTAATCTGATAGCATATCCGTCTTGCATTTCCTCCGAATGTTTCTTATTACTCCCCGCTATACCAGTCTCTTCAGACCTAGATGACATGTTAGTGCTTTCAAATCGTTCACTCGCTCCCAAAGAGCAGTGACCACATCTATTTTATCATGCACCAATTTACCACTAAATGGTCCAGAACAGCCTATTTGTTTGCTACTTTATTTCACAAAACACTTGAATACACTGGAGACAATCTGTGAATGATGCTACCGGGATCTCTCAAGCGAAACTTGCCAAATTACATGGAACGTTCTCGTCTCCACCTTTATCAGCACAGTGTGCAGTCTGTTCTCAAGCCAGCGGGAAGTTAGGTGGCTGAACCATTTCAGTCTTTGCGTCTTAATGAATTTATTTATATTTATAGTTCCAATAACTCTTTTGATCCCTTTATTGCGCCCTCAATATTTCCTAGTTTTGTTTTCAGCCTATTTCAAATATCTCCTTTCACATGCAGTCAGCTGTCTGTCTGTCTGTCTGTCTGTCTGTCTGTCTGTCTGTCTGTCTGTCTGTCTGTCTGTCTGTCTGTCTGTCTGTCTGTCTGTCTGTC